TACGATGACACCACTTGGATGTCCACTCCACAGGTGTTCACTGGCTGAAGAGGGAGTTTGGATCTACAGAAGTCTATGACCATCTCCTTTGTCTTTGAGGTGTTGAGGAGGAGGCAGTTTTTGCGACTCCAGTCACTGAAGGCTCTTATCAGATCTCTGTATTCAGCTTCTTGTCCATTTCTGATACATGCCACAATAGCGGTATCATCTCAGTATTTCTGGATGTGGCAGGATTCAGTACTGTATTTGAAGTCTGGCATATACACTGTGAACAGGAATGGCGCCAGAACTGTCCCTCGTGGAGCTCCTATACTGCTCATTAATGTCCCAGAAACACAGTTCCCCAGCCTGACAAACTGTGGCCCTCCTGTCAGATAATCTGTGATCCAGGAAACACAGGAAGGATCCAAATTACCATAGCTATATACAAAAAAAACTAATTTTTCTCTGCAGCTCATAAAAATGAATCACTACTTTAAAGCAGCCAGTGTAATATTCATAGCTGGAGCATGAAGCAGTTACCCCTGAAATGAAAAGACAAACACTCTGCAGCCTCTCGACTTGATCATTACCTTATTTGAAAAGTGCAACTTAAAGGGGTGTTTAGGCTGTATGTGTGTTAGTGGTTCTTCTCTTATCTAATATTCCTTGAGTTTTTGGCAGCGGGGGCAGAGAGGTGGAGCTTTCGGCTGGTGTTGATCCCCAGGAATGTTGGCAGAGTCTCTCTGCAGTGCTGCTGCTCCTGTGCTGGCTCTGGCAGATACATTTAACAGCACTGTGATCCTGCTGCGTCTTATCTCCCCTCAAACAACCCTAATCCCCCACATGGTAATGTTACACGACAGAACCCGCCCCCCCTCCCAATGTAGCAGCTGAACCTGGAGCCCCCCCATACAGGCGCTCCTCCACTCATCTAAGATTTGAGATTACACACCTGCAGTCTCTGACGTGGCACTGTGCCGCTTCACTGCGAAGCCAGGGAAACTCCACCAGATGCACTCGTGTTTGCCTGGAGGTCTCATTTATGCAACTAAAGCAGACCATCATGTGCTGACCTGCACGCAGAGTTATTTAAAACTCTCCAGAGGATATCAAGGAATGAAAGGAAATGATTCTTTTGATGAACTCACAAAGAAGTATGACAGATGAGAAATGTTGAATACCACAAAAAAAAAAGTCTGCTACAGCCATTAACTCAAGAACAAAGAGAGGCACCTCAAGAAACTGGATTTAAACACCTGTCATGTGCAGGTGCATCCTTTGCCGCTGTGGCGTCAACACAATCAGGCACCTCTGAACCTGGCCTCTCGTCTCCAGTGAATGTGATGAGGTGCGGGTGAGGAGAGGCCAACACAGCGAGTCCTTTGTGGCTGCAGGGGCCTCGGTCCAAGTGAGCAGAGATAACACTGGACAGCTTGCCCCTGTGGAATGCAATGGAGACATGCTTGGGCTGAAGCCAGAGAGTCCACCGGGCCTTTTAGCAGAACCGAGCATAGACTCATCCTCTCAGTTTACACAAAGTAGTACCAGTGGATCACAATACATTGAGAGAGTGAAAGAGTGAATAAGGTGAATAAGAAGACACAGGCCTGGATGAGATCCCGTTAAACTGGTCACACTGTAAAACTACTGCGTGCTAGAGGGCTTATTATGGCATTGGGGGAAATCCAGACCTTTATAAGTATGGAGCGTTAACAACAAGTAGACCTATATTTATATAACAACTTCAAATAAGGGCCATCGTGCCACGTCAGAGACTCTTCAGGTGTGGTTGGGGTAACAGATTATTCACTATGAGAGTCCTCGAGTGTATTTGATCCAATCCAATAAACCTAAACTGATCAGATTACTTATAAACAACTGAGTGAGTCTCCTGTTGGATTTATTGCTTTAAGGTCACACAGATACAAAAACAGGCACCGTGACTGATGACACTGTTGGTTTATTGATGCTTTTATTACAGCTCTGAGTGTAAGGGTTTTATTGGTTTAAAATAGTTGAAAATTCATCCCCCTTTTACTGCTTTTAGTAACAAGGCTGCTAGCTGTAGCAACGCAGTGTGATGACCAAATCATGAGACATCTATAATTTACACTTCTAACTTCATCTTTTTGTTTATTCTCTTATTAAAATGTACTGAGGTTGCCTCTGAATTTACCCTGTAAAGCCTGAAACATGAAATAATTGTCAGAAAATTCAAAAATTGTGAATTGGTCCTTTTATTGGACCTTCTGACAAATAATGTACATATATATATATATATATATATATATATATATATATATATAAAGAATAGCAGATTTGCATAGGAAATTACCTTACATACCTGCTGTATCTAATTTGATATACACATTTTCAACACACTTCTACAATAAGATAAGTTATGAAATATTCTGTCGTTTTACTTTGTATCATTCCTATTGAAGTTTCAGCAGAATTTTAAAAGTCTTTCTTAAGTTATCTATTTCAAAATTGACGACGATATCTTTGAGAAAACACATTTGGGTCACTGACTGACAGCAGCCATATTGGATGTCCCAAGTGAAAGATTGCTGGTGAATTAAAGGGATATTCCAGTGTAAAATTAATTTAGGGTCAAACACACCGTAACACCGAGTTAGACAACCCCACAAGAGATGAATGTTGCAGACTGCTTGCTTCACTGGTTATACCAACTTTAGTAACGACCGCATGATAGCAATGCACAGCAGTCTACAACTCCATGCGCAAACCTCAGCCAAAACGCCACTCTATAGCCACAAATAATGTTCAGAACAGCACCTAACTTCATCAACAGTACATATTGGGCCACAGCCACAGCACTAGCAACCAAACATCTTTTTAACTTTGTCTAATTTCTTTAGCAAAGAGACTAAACACAACTCACCCCACCCTTCCAGCAGTCACTCTTTGTAGCAAGACCTTAAGCCAGTCCATTATGGACTGCTGCGGGGTGACGCAGCTCAAGGAAGAACATTTATGATCGTTTCTTTGTCATTTCCTTTAAGTAATAATCACCATATTAATCATTTTGCACTGCAGACACGGCAGTTCTTCTGCCTTAGCATCTCGGTCTGACTGCGTTTCCATGAAGAAATCACAGTGAGGATGTGGGGGTCTGAAAAACTCATGTGTTTTCATGTATCAAATTTGATACAAATGGTGACATAGTTAACTGTGCTGTAAGCTATGAACAGTTCTGGTAATTGGTTATCTACAGTGGTAAAGAACAGTGTGTGTTGTACATCATCACATGATCAGCATCTGATTCCTCCTGGTTTATGATTTATGCATTAATTACCCAGAGGAAGTTCTTTTTTAAAACCCTCAAACGTATGATTATTGGTGCATTGTTGGCTCTCCGGTTAAGATAATTGGACATCCTGTTTGTGAATGTCGAGTCTTTGAGGAAGACAATGAATGGCTGAGTCATAAATGGGAGGGAAGCTCTGCAGAAAAAAAGTTCAGACGAGAGCAGACAATGGAGGTCAGCCGACATAAAAGTTTGATGTCTAACGAAGCATATTCATTCTGGGACTTAAATGAAAACAGATTGGTTTTTTTTTCTTTTGGTTTTTTTTTTTTGACAGAGCCCTCTGTGCAGACGGCATTATTGTGGCAGGGCATGTCCACATGAATCCTCCTTTTATCTCCTCATTTTGGCAAGCACATTAATTGTGGTTCCTTTCGGTGGTGCCAGACTTGAACAAACGTCTCTGGCTATTTCTGCAACAGAGCAGAACAAAGGATCTATATACAGTATGTCTTCACACAATGCCTAAAATTAAAAGGGACTGTTTTGCCTCAAGTTTTGATTGTCTTTATTTGGTTTCGATGGCATCAGATGGAAACTACAATGGAAACCACTGCTGCATACATGTGTTTACAGTGATTACAGGACTTGGAGAAGAGATTCCAGTGCGGGCGTTTGTCTTTGTGTATGGAAAGTGTGTACGAGCTGTCAGACTATTTTCTCTTGGCAGTTTATTTTATGTGTGCAGGGGGAAACTAACCGTTCCTGACTTGGCTGCCGGAGTTTGTATCAACCTCCATCTCACCTTAAAAAACATTGAGCCTACGCACACTTTTGTTGCCACATAGCGAGAGTTCTGCTACTATGCAAAATTTTGGCCACTTTGGTCCAAAAAGGCGCTGTAAAAATGAGAGTCGAATATCAAACTTAACAGGAAAAAAAAAAGACTGCAACACCATTTATTTGTGCAACATTCAAATCTCTTGTGTCTTATTCTTATTGTTTATGATGGAAAGTACAGTATATGGGTTTTGTGCCTGTAATCAGGCATCATCTCGACAGTCACTGCATCCATCTTTCTGCACATTAGTCATGCCCACATGGTTGGTGTGCATCACTGAATATTAAACCATTATTACTGCTGTTTGTATTGCTCCATTTTTCCTCCCACCAAGTGTACTGTGCCATCCTTCTATGCTGTACCAGTGTATCCAGTGGAGCCTGTTTTAGAATAAATATTTCACAGTAGATCCAGCTACGTGTGTTACCCTTGGATATGAAAACATGACAGGGCTTTTTAGGGGTCTGTGCTGGTCCAGGGGTTGTCTGGCCTTTCATTTTCCTTTTTATGTTTTCTCAACAGCCTCTTTTCCAACACTTTTTTTTATGCATTTGGTCTTCATTCAGGTTGTCAAGCAAGGAAATGTTTAAAATTTCAGTTTATCAGTGAATTTTGATACTTAAAGCTCCTGTGAGGATTTTTTTATACATTTATGCAACAGACTAAAATTCATATTGATACCTTTTTATGATACCCAAAAGCAAACAAGACCGCCAGCAACAGAATTGTGATTTTCAAATCTTGAAATTGGTGCCATGGGGTAAGTGTCAGCCTTGTAGCTCAGGAAAAAGCCATTTTTTTCTTAAGTTACCACATGTAATTCACACATTGGATAGAACATTTCAGCCAAAAGTCAGAAGGATAAGATTTTTTTTGTCACAACTCAAGCATGCAGAGGACTTCTTTGCCCAAAGGGGGCGCCCTGTCAGAGCGCTTCAAGGACAATCAACAGTCAGAGAGTGTGGACCTCAGATTGATTAGTAACCCACAAAGACACACAGAGCTTTGAACGGTGGGTCTCATCTGTGACTGGTGACTCCTCCTCCTGACTGGTGAGCGTGCGCATTGCTTCATTCCCTTCCTTGCTGTTGAACTGTGTGTAGCGTTTCGTTTCCTCCTGAAAGCGCTCTCCTGCTGTTTTGGTTTATTTTCTATCTGTAATTTATCAGTACATCTGTCTGTTTAGAAAGTCTGTAAGTATTTCTGATAGTTTTCACCAAGCACTGTTTTTATCTCCACTCCGGGCGATCTCTCTGACCATTTACTTTATTAGCTCCTAGCTTAGCTTCTCTTAGCTACACTTGCTAACGATGGCTTCCCCCCGGTCGCCTGCTTCTCCTGCTCGCTTCTGCTCAGTGTGTCAGATGTTCAGTTACTCCTCGTCCTCCTTAGACGATAACGATACCTGCTTTAAGTGTAGTTTATTCTTAGCTCTGGAGATGAGGATTACAGAGTTAGAAAAGCGGCTCCGCACCGATGCTAGTGTAGCGATAGCCAGCCAGGACTCGGTAGCCGGTGCGGGTCGGCCTAGCTTAGCCTCCCCCCCGGCGAATCCCGAGCAGCCGGGATGTAGTAGTGGTTGGGTCACTGTGAAAGGGAAGCATAGCAGTAGACCTAAGAAGCCCACGGTAGACCACCACATTCACACTTCAAACAAATTTGCCCCTCTCAGCAACACACCTGCTGAGCCTGACGCTCTTGTGATTGGAGACTCTGTAGTCCGAAATGTGAAATTAGCGAAGTCAGCGGCCATAGTTCAGTGTCTCCCGGGGGCCAGAGCGGGCGACATCGAAGGTAGTTTAAAACTGCTGGCAAAGGCTAAACGTAAATTCCGTAAGATTGTAATACATGTCGGCATAAATGACTCCCGACGCCGCCAGTCGGAAGTCACTAAATTGAACGTGGAATCGGTGTGTGAATATGCCAAGACCATGTCGGACTCCGTAGTTTTCTCTGGTCCCCTGCCCGATCAGACAACTGATGAGATGTGTAGCCGTATCTCATCATTCAACCGCTGGCTGTCGAGGTGGTGTCCGCAAAACGGCGTGAGCTTCATTGATAATTGGAAGTCATTTTGGGGCAAGCCTGGTCTGATTAGTCGGGACGGCATTCATCCCACCCGAGATGGAGCGGCCCGTTTATCCAGAAATCTGGCCGATTTTATTAATCCGAACCACTGACAATTCAAAGCAGAGATCAGGGAGCAGGGCCGCAGTCTTACACGCCCCCCTGCGCCTCTTTTAGAGCAGCCTCCCAGCCACTACCACTTATACACAGAGACAAGGGAGCACAGCCGCAGTGTAAAACGCCCTTCTGTACTCCCTTCAGAGCAGCTTCCAAGCTACAATCAGCTTGACTTAGAAATCAGGGAGCAGAGCCGCAGTGTAAAACGCCCCTCTGTACTCCCTTCAGAGCAGCTTCTAAGCTACTCTCAGCTTGACATAGAAATCAGGGAGCAGAGCCACAGTGTAAAACGTCCCTCTGTACTCCCTTCAGAGCAGCTTCCAAGCTTCTCTCAGCTTGACATAGAAATCAGGGAGCAGAGCCACAGTGTAAAACGTCCCTCTGTACTCCCTTCAGAGCAGCTTCCAAGCTACTCTCAGCTTGACATAGAAATCAGGGAGCATAGCCACAGCTCTACACGTTCCTCTGTACTTTTGTTAGAGCAGCCTCCTAGCTACTGTCACTTTAATATAGAGACTGTGTCTGTCCCTCGTACTCGGCTCTCAAATTCTAACCGATCAATTAAAAAAGGAGTAAATAACAAGAACCTTACTAGAATTAAGACTGTTAACATAGCTGAACCAAGTACTAGTAAGATAAAATGTGGCCTACTGAATATAAGGTCTCTAAATTCAAAATCTGTGTTAATAAATGAACTAATCTCTGATCATCGCATTGATTTACTCTCCCTAACCGAAACATGGCTGCGTAAGGATGAATATGTAAGTTTAAATGAATCCACTCCTCCTAGCCACCTAAACTTTCACATTCCTCGAGACTCCGGCCGAGGTGGTGGAGTTGCAGCTATCTACAATTCCAGTCTTAGAATTAACCCAAGACCAAAACTAGATTATAACTCTTTTGAAAGTCTCGTTCTCAGTCTCCCGCACCCAGCCTCAAAGTCCATGAGACCACTGGTATTTGCTATAGTTTACCGCCCTCCGAGCCCATACTCTGAGTTTTTGTCAGAGTTCTCAGAGTTCCTATCCGAATTAGTCCGTCTCGCAGATAAAGTCATCGTCGTCGGTGACTTTAATATTCACATAGATGTGGAAAATGATAGCCTAAGCATTTCTTTTCGGTCCTTGCTAGATTCAATTGGGTTTACACAGTGTGTACATAGACCTACGCACTGCTTTAACCACACTCTCGATCTCGTCCTGGCTTATGGCCTCGAAACTGATGCCCTGTTAGTCAGCTCATTAAATCCTCTATTATCTGATCACTGTCTAGTAACTTTTGAATTTGTGCTCTCAGGTTACTCTCCTCACAACAAAGTCGTGCTAACTAGAAGGTTGTCTGAAAATGCTGTTACTAAGTTCAAGGAGGTAATTCCGTCTGCTCTAAATTCTGTAGTTGAGAAAAACTTTACTGATAGCTCATATTTAAACATCAGTCCCTTGCAACTCGACCAGTTTGTTGATGATACCTCAGGCACACTGCGATCAGTTCTAGACTCAGTTGCCCCTCTTCGACAGAAAACTATTACACGCGAGAGGCTAGCCCCGTGGTATAATGCTGAAACCCGTGAGCTGAAACAGTTATTAAGAAAATGTGAAAGGATTTGGCGCTCCTCCAAAACAGCTGAAGCTCGTTTTCTCTGGCAGGAATGTCTCGATAAATATAAGAAAGCCCTACGACGTGCTCGGACAACCTACTACTCGTCTCTTATTGAGGAAAATAAGAATAACCCCAGATATCTCTTCAGCACTGTAGCCAGGCTGACAGACTGTCCGAGCACCACTGAACCATGTATCCCATTAGCCCTTAGCAGCAATGACTTCCTGAGCTTCTTCAATGATAAAATCTTAAAAATAAGAGGTAAAATTAGTAACCTATTGACTCCACCAAGTGTCTCTCTCTCAGATAACCCTAAAAATGTTGAGGAGCCCCTAAGGCCTCTGGTGCACCTTAGTAATTTTGTACCTATTGACCTTCCTGAGTTAAAATCAGTGGTGCTAGCAGCCAAACCATCGACGTGTCTCTTAGACCCAATTCCATCTAAATTGCTAAAGGAAACTCTTCCTTTGATTAGTACGTCCCTGCTCAAAATGATTAACACGTCTTTATTAACAGGATATGTTCCCCAGTCTTTCAAGACTGCATTGATTAAGCCTCTCCTTAAAAAACCTACTCTAGACTCAAGCTCCCTAGCTAACTATAGACCAATATCCAACCTTCCTTTTATTTCTAAAATCCTAGAGAAAGTTGTTGCGAATCAACTCTGTGATTTTCTCCATAACAATGGTTTATTAGAGGATTTCCAGTCTGGGTTTAGAACCCATCACAGCACAGAGACTGCTCTGCTAAAGGTGTCAAATGACCTACTCATGGCCTCAGACAATGGTTTTCTCTCTGTTCTAGTCCTGTTAGATCTTAGTGCAGCATTTGACACAATTGACCACTCCATCCTGCTTCAGAGACTAGAACAATCTATAGGCATAGCAGGATCAGCTCTCTCCTGGTTTAAATCGTACCTAACAGATCGATCCCAGTTTGTCAATGTAAATAATAAATCCTCTGCACACACCAAAGTGTGCTACGGTGTGCCGCAAGGGTCAGTGCTCGGTCCAATCCTCTTCACCCTGTATATGATTCCGCTGGGTAAAATTATGAGGAAGTATTCGATTAATTTCCACTGTTATGCAGATGACACCCAGCTATACCTATCCATAAAGCCAGAGGAAGCAGGCCAGGTTGCTAGGTTAGAAGCCTGCCTCAAAGATATAAAATCCTGGATGACCAATAACTTTCTAATGCTCAATTCAGACAAAACTGAAGTTCTGGTCCTCGGTCCTAAACACCTTAGAGAGGCGTTCTCTAGTAATTTAGCTACATTTGATGGTATCAGCCTGGCATCCAACCCCACTGTGCGTAATCTAGGAGTTGTATTTGATCAGGATTTATCTTTTAGCTCCCACATTCAACAAATTTCTAGGACAGCCTTTTTCCACCTGCGCAATATCTCAAAAATTAGACGCATATTGTCTCAGAGCGATGCAGAAAAACTAGTCCATGCCTTTGTTACCTCTAGGCTGGATTACTGTAATTCTCTCCTATCAGGCTGCTCTAGTAAGTCATTAAGGACTCTTCAGCTGGTCCAAAATGCAGCAGCTCGGGTATTGACTAGAACTAGTAGAAGGGAGCACATCTCCCCTGTTTTAGCCTCTCTTCACTGGCTCCCTATTAAATATAGAATTGAGTTTAAAATCCTCCTTGTGACATATAAAGCGCTTAATGGCCAGGCGCCATCATATCTCGACGAGCTAGTTATACCGTACTTTCCATCTAGACCGTTACGCTCACAGTCTGCAGGTCTGCTCGTTGTACCAAATGTCTCTAAAAGTAGTGTTGGAGGAAGAGCTTTCAGCTACCAGGCACCTCTCCTCTGGAATCATTTACCGCTCGAGGTTCGGGGGGCAGACACACTCTCAACTTTCAAGAGTAGACTTAAAACGTTCCTCTTTAGGGCTGATTTGAACCAGCTCTTAGTTATGCTGCTATAGGCCTAGACTGCCGGGGCTATCTGGCACACTGAGCTAGAATCTGTCTCTATCTCCTCTTTAGATCTTTATGTCCCATATAAGTCACTGACCAGCTTTCTGTCTCTCTGAGTGTCTCTGAGTCTTTTAGCTGCCACTGGACTAATGCTGCAAACGGTCTGCTGCGGAACTGCCTGACCCCAGCTGCATCCATCCTGGGCCCTGAGCTCCTCCATCTCTTTGGCTCTTTGGCTTCTCTGGACCGTTGCTGCAGTGACCCCCCCCCCCCCCCGGCCCTGAGCTCCTTCTTCTCTCTGATTCCTCTGGACTGTTACTGTTACTGCAGACATGAACATCAGCCTCACTGTCATTATTGACATACAAAATAGAACTGACTACAATTAAGCCTGCTAACTGTAATCACACTCAATTAATTCAACATTGTCCATTATTTCTCATATCCTAAACCTGTAAACTGAACGTCTTTTTGTTTCACCATTACATGAGCTGTTGTCGTTGTTGCTGTTGTTCCTGCTGCCTCCTGTCTCTCTCTCACCCTCGTTCCCTACTCTCTCTCCCTCCCCCTCCCTCTCCGTACTAATTCTCTCTAGCCTTTCCCCTATCTTGCTGTCTCTCTCCCTCCCCCTGTCCTCTCCCCCTCTCCCCTCTTCTCACTACATTCCTCCCCAACCCAGCAGCGGCATGGTGGCTGTCTAGCATGAGTCTGGTCCTGCCCAAGGTTTCTGCCTGTTAAAAGGAAGTTTTTCCTTGCCACTGCTACTCATGTTAGTTGAGATGGGCCAAAACCCATCTTAGGTTGGTTCTTGATCATCAAACAATGAGCGTGGTCTCGACCTGCTCTTGTTCTTTGGAAAGCGTCTTGAGATGACGACTGTTGTGAATTGGCGCTATATAAATAAAATTTGATTGATTGATTGACAAGCTCTACAGTAGTGTTTGGATTTACAAAAGATCGTGAAATCTCTGTTTTTAAAAGTGTCTAATTCTCTTTGAGAGAGCTGCTTCTATAGATAGATAGATAGATAGATAGATAGATAGATAGATAGATAGATAGATACATAGATACATAGATACACTTTATTGATCCCAAACTGGGAAATTCATGTTATAATGTTACATGTTACAAGATTGTCTTGTTCTGATCAGTCCTATTCAGTGATATTTGGAGACTTGTGCACAAGAACGACTGAAAATATCAGATGATAGCACTGCCAGCTTGATGTGGTTTCTATGTGTTTGGTGTGCATAGGTGCACCTATCTTGTAAGACAGTTTATCACTTAATGAGAAATCACATTATAGTCTCTTATCACACCCATCTATCTACTTTTTGTGTGTTACAGACTAAAATGACAGGAGATAATCACACATGACGTAGTAACACAGGATTCTGCTGAGTACCCAGAAGCCTCTGCTTGTTTAATAGTTTCCCATCTCTACCATCACAAACCTGGAGGGGTGGGTATGTTCCTACCAGAGGAGGTGTTTGGTTTTCCTTGAAGCTTGAGCAGCGCCCCCTCTGAAAACATACCTACACACTGAGGCTCCCTCTGAAGTCCAAGGTCCTGCATGTGAAGATGGTGCTTTAGAGTCTCAGGGGAGAGCAGAGGCGGTAGATTCACATTTGTGGCATGGAGACCTGGTGGGAACACTGGACACAAATCACAACCTCCCAGTATGACAAGACTCAGGGACAAAAGCAACATAAACTGGTCACATAGCTTGTATGACTAATTATTATTATTATTATCTATCTGCCTTTTATCTTACTGATGACGGATAAAATTAATCCAAAAGTGTACTGCTTTGACTCCCACTTTGTCTCACCCCATAGAGCTATCTGATTGGCTGAATGTCACCTGATTATGTGACCCAGCTTTACTGTAGTATCCTGCAAATGGTTTTGTGCAGCTGTGTGATTTCACCACTTTTCAACCAGATAAGGAGACTGCTAACATGTGATTGTTATGACTGTGGAGAACATGGACCCTTATTCAAAAAGTTTAACTGTCTCCACACATCAAGCGCACAAATCACAAATCATTTGCGCAAAGGAATAACATGTTAAGTCAACGCAAAGATGCGATTAGACGCTCCTACGACTCTGGCGGCACGAATGATGTGAATTGGGCTTATCTCAACTTGAGCAGATATTCACGTCGAGATAACTACTCAGCCGGTTGCCGGGTGACGTATGAAAACAGACGGTTGTTCACTGGTATCTAAAATGGAGGACTAACTAATCGTGTCGGTGTGTGTGTGCCCCAAATTACATGATACCTTTTCTTTCAATTACCAAAACCAGAATAAAAAGGAGCTCACCTGGAGGCAAGTGAGTGAGGAGGTCGGATTACCAGGTAAATTGTAAAAATCCTTTGTCCGTCACTTGATCCCGCCGATTGAATTGGGCGGGATTAACGTTGAAATTACAGTTGAAATTATCGTCGACGTGCGAATAAAGCTAGTATATATTATTCATTCACACGTCTAGATTTGCGTGAATATAGCGAGTAGATGGTTTCACTCACGCTTGGTGTGAGTGCCCCATTAGACTTAAGCTACATTACTCCAAGAATGAGGTGCCCATTAACAATCACCTGTATCACCCGTGCCATGATCCAGCCATTTAAAAACTACTCTATTTTCTCTTTAACAGAAGTACGCCGACTGTATCTGCTCTGATCACAAGCAAAAGCTGTAAAGGTCCCTAAAGGTGAACATGGTAACAGAGGGAAAGATTAATGTTCACTGGTAATCAAAGCATGCTCACCATGCACCCGTGTCCCGGCTGACATTAAACATGACATTTTGACCAAAGCTGCTCAGCCTTATTCCTATTTCTTACTTGTCGCTGCTGCCCTTTACAAAGGCAGAGAAATAAAGCAGCCAGAGTCTGAACCCTTCAAAGCAACAGCCACGCCACCATAAGTCAGTATTAATTGAATTTGAAGGACCACCGCCCTAGCATTTATCTCCTTGTTTTCTTCCCTCTTCATGCTGCAAAGGCTAATAACCTCCGATGTGAAGCTCTTTGTTATCCCTCTGACTGATTGCGGTCAAAGTAATCTTTAGTTCATTTCCTATCACAGCTCTCCACAAGCCGGGCATTCTAGGGTCAAGTGGTCAGTCTGGAAGCCAAAGTGTTTACAACCCCGTCTTTGAAGTCTTTGATGGTCACTAACTAACAAAGACGACTGTATCCATGGCCACCAACGGTGAAAGAGGGAGAATGTGAATGGTTGCTGCAGATAAAAATCTCCTGGTTCACTTCGAGGTCAGCAGACTTTTCACACTTCCCGGACAATGTTGGACACATTCTGTACTAAACCGCTGCAGCACCTTTTAGAAACCAATGTTATGATTTATGCAGGAAACTGCAGCACAATGTGCTTTCCTGCTTGCTTTTGCACTGCCCTCGTCCTGTCTAGAAATATTTCTCAAGATGTGTGTGAGTGCTGCAAAGGTTTTTGGTTCAAATATTCAGTTTGAGTCAGCACACATGACAGATTGTACCTCAACTTATTCTATGAATAAATTTTAGGGACTGCATAAACATTCAAACAATTTAATAGAGAAGTAACCTTACATAGATTTTTGTGCATTCTTGAAAATGAGTGAAAAGGAAGAACTTTTTATGGCAGTTCATTCAAAGTGTCCGAAGTCAGAGTTCACCGGCTGGGAGGTACAGCTGTATGCAGCGCTCTGTCTTTCTCCCAGCCCGACCCTAACATGAAGGCTGTGGGAAAGGACCAAAAGAATCCTCTGGAAAGGGAACAAGGGTGAGAAACACAAATCCAAAGAGAACTCTCTGTGGTCACGGGGCCTGTGGGTACAGTATGTGAGTCGGAGGAACAGTCTCTCATGCCCCCCAGACCTTCACATAAGTCACATCAGCTTTCTCTGACAAAGCCTCTGTGTGGCCCCACACCGACGCTCTCCCACTGCAGCAGGACATCAGCAGTGCTGAGCACAGTGCATGCTGGAGGTGGGGGGTCGGTGATGGGGGGTGTTGGCACTTTTAACTTGTTGTTTTTTCAGGACAGGAGCAGCTGTTAAAATGTTATCCAACTATTCTGTCGAGGCACATGATGTTGCACAACTGGTTCAGCTGTCCCATGTTTTGTTTCTCTGTGGCCTGTGATCTTGACTTTAACCCCAAGAGCCTATTCATCCTTTGTATCCATGAACAAGACACCAAGATAACTTGTCATAACAGGTGAGAAATAAGGCTTCCACTAACACCGATAAGATGTGAATGTGCCGAAAAAAAAAGAAAAGAAAAAAAAACTATAGAAACTGACCCCAAAAATATGCTGCGAGATAAAGCTGATTGGTTGTCTGAAAGTTGTCTGAGGAAAAGAGGGAGAAAGTCACTGCAGATGAGTCAAAAGGCAGAAGGTAGGTAGAAAATTTTGCTTACCAGCCAATAAGTTTGCTTGATTGGGACTTATTTATGTAAGTTGCTTACATCATACTGCAACAGAGACTTTAATAGCATATATGTCCACTCCTATGTTAATAAAACTATTAAAAACTAGAAAAATATCATTTTAATGTACATTTAGAATAGATAAAAATGTGTGATTAATTAGTGAATAATCATGATTTAACTATAGAAATCATGTAATTAATCACGATTAAGCATTTTTATAGGTTGATAGTGTGGAGTGGAGTTAGTGGGCTTGAAATCCTCTTTATGAATCCAACACTTCCTCAGCACTCAAGCTATGTAGTACCCACTCTGTGTACGCCAATGAGCACCCATTATAAAATCTGACAAGTGCTGAAAACTATCAATTAATCCATCAATCAATTATTATATTTATTTGTACCCAAGGGGGCGATTAATTTTGCAGGAGCACGCAAGACAAAATATACAAAACACATGGCATGATAAATTACAATACATTACAAATCCCAATACAGACCCAAGATAAGTTAGGAGGGAAGACTATTTCACCTTAACTTCCTTTTCCTCTTGGCCTATGTAAAGCTTAAAGTATTAAAAAAACATGTAGATATCAAAAAGTTGAGACAAATACTTAAAATGAAAAAAATGTGAAGATTTTAGAACAGAAATGAAGTCTGTGGGTGATGCCAAAGTTGAATGACTTTGAGTCTGATTTCAAAATTTTTCATCTGCTTCTATTGTAAGATTGGTTCAAATAAAGTTTCTAATTCAAAAATGATGAAAGGTCAAAATATGTCCAGCTTTTTTCTCCTCAAAAAGCTGGACGAAATGATACCAGAATGTTTTAGATTTAGTCAAATGTATAAAAGCAGTGAAAAGACACCCCCTGGAATGAACCTCTTAGTTTTGTTAATGTCTCCGCACTGGTTGGTCTTTCCCGTAATATTGTTGCACCCAATCAAAACAAAGATACCACTGCAGCCAGAGCCAAATGAAATGAAAGTGACAACTGACATGCCAAAAAACCTCTACACCTCACCAACTTTTAGCCAAAATCCCTCATTCAGCCTCCTAAGCCTGCCTAAATCCCGGTGGTTGTCGTCCTTGAGTCTCCTGGACCACCATGGCAGCTGCCAGCGCTCACCGTCTGCTCTCATGGACTCCAAGAACCAGTAAACTTCACGGCACTTTGTGGGTTAGCTCTGCTGTGTTTTTTTGTATCATGAGGACATCATGTGGTGAGCTTTTCAAGGAAACCTGCCATCCTGTATCCCAGGAGAACAGTAGCGAAATGCCCCCCCCTCCGTCTCTTTGCAAAAGATCCAGAAACTAATGCCTAGTAAATCAAGGGAACACTAAGTCTGGATGAAAAGAGTGAATATTGAGAGTGAGTGTGCCAGCTTGCAGTGTGGAGATATCTCACTTTTGTACATGTTTGTTTTCACTTGTGAGCTTGATTAAAATGTTTTGCTTCTATTGAACTGTTTGCACAACACCATCTGGCCCAGATTTTTCTGCAAACTTGCAAACAAATTGGTTGCCTCTGTTCCATGCAGTGCAGCTTAATTTCTCATTCAGACGGAGCACTTTCTCCGTGAAGTGAACAGAAACAGAAAGACCCTTGATCTATCATCACTAAACGTTCAAAGTAAATGAAGCTTTCCTTGCCCTGACCACAGAGCTGTGTGAACCTCTCCTCTCCTTGAGGTACATGTTATTAAAACTGGCCCTCTGACAAAAAGGAGCGCACATGAACGTAGGCTCCGCCCCTCTGCTTCTAATCAGACTTGTGTTGCTTGTTTGGAGAGAACCATCTGCTTGAAACTGCAGGCCCACTAGGGTTAAACTCAACCCAGATGCTTTCTGTATGGCAACCCAAGCTCAGTCTCATCTTATACTCATGACTAGTTTTCACCTCCAAGCATGACTGACTCTCTTTTGGAGAAATTTACCAATCAGTTGATCTGATGGTGTTTCCAAAAGCGAAAACATACAAGTATGTGACCATATGTCTAAAGAAGTATAAGGTATGCAGAACATAGATCTGCTTGTGGTACTTGAAGTTTTCTAAGTAGAATCAGGTTGAAAAGTTTCCTTTCTACAAATCACAGTTGACATGACTGGCCTGATTTACTAAAAATTTTTAGAACGTGAGGAAACTTCAGAGTGCTCTTAACAAATACGCAAGCTGATCTACGAACAGAGCGCAGTGAAGATCCCGTCTTTCAAATGTGCAAGATAACACACACTGTCCGTTGAGTATGTTTACCTTGGTGAAAATGTAACATGGGGCGTTTCTACCCCAGGGTGCAAAATGCTGGGAGAAGAAAATGCAAAGAGGTGAATTTCCTATGCAACAGATAAAAACCCATCGTCAAGAGCAGCAGACTGTTCCCAGGACTGCAGTCATGCTATTCAACATTCAGTTCATGGCCCTGCATGGAGGTGTGCAAACTCAGGAGAAATGGTTTGGTCAGGGTCAGTCTGATTGAGTCCTTTACATGGAGGAGAAAGTGATCCCCAACCACATCATCCAGGTATGTTAGTCCACCTATGAGAAGTTCAATTTAGTGCAGTTTCAGTTAGACTAATGCCATTACATGTTTTTAAAAGCCATTCGGACCAAAGCAATAACATGATTTTTGTTAAACAACATGTAAACATACTTACTGGGAATGGCTTGTCTTTGACCAGCTCTTATAGGGTTGATGCACCAAGCCTCTGTCCTCTCCCTCTTTCCTCTCTGCTTGCATTCACATCTCATTTATTCATTTTAATAACTTTGTAGCTCCCAAAAGTTTTTGTTCTTCTGGAGTGTGAAGAAACTGCCCATTGCCGGGGACCATCTCAACACCTTCTGCTGCAGCTATTATTACCAGGCATACATGAATTATCATTATTATAGTTGACAGTGCCAAATTTCATTACCTGAGTCTATGTTTAGATACTCCAGATCACAGGTTTAGGATAGAGTCATGAGTGCTCAGGTGGAGAATCTCCCTTCCCTGCTTCAGCCATCATGACTACCATTTAATGAACTGCCAGATCTAAGCACCATGGCTCTGCCTTTTCCCCATGTTCAACCATGGAGTCTCACAATTAACAGTTAAGGCAACACCACTCAGGCAAATCAGATAAAGAGTGCAGTTTATTATCATTCAGATCTAATCTTAGAAAAGAAGAAAATCCATCTGCTGGCTTCAGAGTCATTGAAAGTACGATGCCCATCTATTAAAGGTAAGGACAAGTAACATTGGTGGATAAACTTTGGGTCTATCTAAACAGTGTTATGATATTGTCCACAGAGTGTGCTGTTTGTTCCGCCTTACTGCTAACCTCAACTGTGCAATAAAAATGATTGTTGTTTGTTGTAATGATACTGACAGAGACAGTCACCCTAACAAAGGACTCCTCCTCCTGCATGCCCAACCCCGATGCCCTCTCTCACCCAGCCCAAACAGAGCTCTAAGAGTGCATGTGTGAGCAGCAGGTTCATGAAAATATCAAGGCACACATGTTCTGAAATTACATCCAAAATGTCAAAAGTTTGTGTGCAAAAGGGGCTACGTAGAATGAGCTTAACCAGGCATACTTTTCATGGATTTGATCCAAACTTACTTTGGAAAATAACACATGGATAATCACTGCACTAGCAGACAGACTGAGCTTTATCAGATCAAGTGCATTCATCCACCCAAACACGCACACACACACACACACACACAACCTCCCTTTTTGTTCCAATCCTCGAAACACCCCTCGGATGTTATGCAACAGCAAAATCCTGTAATTTGCCCCAGAATGCACTTCTCTCTTTGAAGCGAGAAGTGATGGGTTAAAGTCGCGTTGCAGAGAAACCCTGCTGTGCTGCCATGCAGTCAGTCCGTCCATTCATCTGTGTTTATAGATCTGTCTACTGAAATCCTTTCTTCTCGAGCTTTCAGATTTGTGACCTTAGCAGGAGCAGATGTCTGGTGGCAGACAACAAATGCCTGCTGTTACTTCACTCTCGCTTTTACTTTCAACTCAAAATAAGCAACCCACAGTCCTGTGAACAGCCCAAAATCATTGTATTTCATACATTTAAACTTCCCATATGTGTCAGTGACGCCTCTGTGATGTAGAGAAAGACAGCCACTTGGAAAAGTACGCAGGCTCCTTTTGCTTTTTGTTTGCATTGCAGGCTATTCTTTTAATAATCACTGCCATAAATCTCTGTCCATGTGGTGCAGTGACTGGATTACGGTTCAGTATACACGCTTTAAACAGTCATACATCAAACTCTGTATGCAGCAGAAGTAAACAAGCCATTAGACATAATTGCGTATTATTTATGGTAGGTCTAATTCTTGGAAAAAAAGACACGCCAGTATAATGACATCAGATATTAATGGGATGGAAACTGTTTTCATGCTGATTTAATCCACTAGCCAGACCTTGAGGAGGGCAGCAATGTAAAGGGAAATAGTTTTCAGCAATTAGTTACAGAGAACAGCAAGCTGAGTGTTTTTATTTGTAAGAATAAAGAAAAGATTTGCACATTTGGATTCATCATGTGGAAATCAGCAGCTGACTCGGACTCAGAGGCTTAGGTTCAATAGACATCACTCAAGAGCAAAGCACAGGCTGAGTTGTATTTGATGGACAATGTGCCTGCAATTCATTTTATTACCTGGCCACCAAATAAGAATCAAATGAGTTGACAATGAAATGATTTAGATTTAATTTGATATTCTTTAAGATTTTTAGGCTTTCTGTTGGTATCAGTATCCTATCAGTCAAACTGCATGTCAAAGCACATTAAACCTCACATTTCCATCCATTGTAAAGTCTAAAAGATAATGATTTCCAATCAGCATTTAAAAGTGATGTGTAAAACAGAAACACCGGATAAAGGTCTACCACCTCAAAACTTTCTAAATAAATTGTCTTTTTCTTTAAACTTTTAACAAAGTCTGGATCACGTCCCCTCGAAAGTTGCGTGTCATCTTCTTCACTTTGTTTGATGTCTCATTACTCTATCCGTTTAAACCCTTTGCTTTTGCAGCTGTTTTCCTCCACTCTTCCTCTTTTTTTGCTTGTAACTGTTCAGACATGGTGACTGCCCCTCGTGTGGTTTATTTATATAAAACGTGATGGAAATTAAGGTTTTTGTCACAGTGTCAAAAGACAGAACAGGGTTCCTACACAAGTATGGAAAGTCTTAAAAAGTATGGAAATAGATTTGATCAAGTTCCAGGTCTTTAAAAGTATGGAAAATGAAAAATAAATTATGGAAAGATATTGATGTTTCCAGACTATTGCCACAGTTCTAAAAAACTGTTTTCTAAAAATAGAGAAGTAGGTATTTCCAAAAATAATTCTAATCAGTAGGGTATGGAGAATTATGGAAATTCCAACTGTGTAGGACAGGGGTGAAGTGTTCCAGACCTTTCTACTGATTAATCTGACTGACATGTTGAATCCGGTTGTCCATGAAAACACTGCTGTCTAGAGTTATTCCGCCCTATAAAAAGGAAAACTTCAATATGATTAAAGCACAACAGACATTTACTCCTGCATTTTTAATCTGCATTTTAATACAAATTAGCATCGTTGGGGGGAAAATTACATGTAAACCACAATATACAGCTCCTGCTCATATTTTTTTTCTTTGAAAGGCATAAATCACAAGATAAAAGCATCCGCTGTGGCACGCAAAGTTGTTTTTGAGGAAGTGAAGATGCCTTTCTCTCCACAACCACAACATAAATCATCTACGTCCTGACAGTCCCTTCGTATAGATCACGCTCTTTAAATTTGATGTATCCAGGTGCAGAAAGTCAGAAAATTCCCCAGGGGTCTCCTCGTATAATGACGCCTTTCTTCCCGTGTGTCCCTGTAGAGACAATTTACCTCTTACAGCCACAGCTGAATGATTTACTGTGATAGAGCAAAAATGTCTCAAACTAACCTGCAGTGGTTTGAACAACCTGTTCATGCAGACAATATGACATACAGATAAAAGGACGTCCTGAATGCTATGTAATGCTACTTACTACAGCTGGGTGGCCCATTATGTACAGTAGATCTGGGCTCTAATCGCATCATCTCCCGTGTGATCCAGTCAGGAACAAGTGACTAAAAGGCTTCAACATCTAATAAACAGCATTCAGCCTACGTTGCCAGTGGAATAAGAGGCCACAGATATGGAGTAGAGACAAAAGCAGCCTTGTGTGTAGCAGCAGAGGAATGCTCAGGGAAGTCCATGCCTGCTCCCTCTACTTACTCTTATCTGATTGAAAGCACAGGGAGGCCTGTGCATTTATTCAGGCTTTTCTTATACAAGCCCGGTTAAGCCTAAGGTCTGCTTCTTCTGCACAGCTGCAGCAGCAGAGAAAGTTCAAGATGTCACCTGGATGAACCCAAGAGGACTCTGCAGTGACGTTGTTTGAGAAATCAGTGTTTTGACAGCGTGTGTGTGTGTGTGAGTGAGTGAGTGTTTCTGGACAGAGCAGAGACACGTTCTTTGTTTGCACTGCAGTCATGAGTTTTTGGGGTGTGAGGGAAATGTGGCTGATGTAAGAAAAACTGTGTAATGACACCCTTGTGGTTCACTGATCCTACCCGTGGTCCTCCATGTGTTGGCTATAAACACAGTCCCACCTCTATGTGACCTCACACCACTTATTCCCCCTATACCACCTTACATACATAAATAATATGCACATGAGGAGCATAAGGACAATGGATTACGCTGTGAGGATGTCATCTGCTAAAGTCTGTTGAAAATCCTGTGTGGTGAACCTGGTGCTCCCATAAAAACAGGGCTTCCACACTAGGGCGGCCACCTCAGCTTTACCTCCACACAAACCTCCCACAATGCACTAAAAAAGCCCATAAACATGACTGCAGGAAGAGAGCAGGCAGAGGATGGTGAAATGTAAGGTAATCGGTTCAACATAAGCTCTGTCAGATGTAGACGAATTTGCATCGCAGGGAGAGTCGAAAACAAGGATATATCTGATATGTTTATAAATAGGAAAGCTGGAGCCTGTACATCTGATAAGGGAAGCCCTCAAACAAAACACCAAACAGGGGAACAATAGTGAGTAGGAGGGCTTTGGAAAGGACGGGGGCCCAGAGAGGGGAGGCTGAAAAGCCCACAGTGGAGCAGGACACAGAGAGAAAGCGAGAGGCACGCAGCACCATGCTGACAGCATAAAACAGCAAAGCAAACGTGTTCCACCATCATCTTTGAGCGCACAGATCAGCTGCTTCATTATGTGAAAGACAAACCGTATGATAAAAAGAAAATGTTGAAAAATGTGCAAATGAGAAAGAAGAGAAAGTTCAAAACAGCGACTGAAGGGTAATGCTCCAAAACTTATGAGCGAGTACTTCCAAATAAACAACAGTGCACCGACACGGCACTAATATATTCTAATAAAAACCGTGAGCTCTGCGGTGTGCGCATCTGACTGCAGTTGTTCTGCTTTTTAAGGGGATACAGGCAGCCCTGCAGGGTTAAGGTTTACAAGGTTTGGGTCAAAAACAGTGTTACAAGTCCTGATCCTCTTCAGTCCAGTTTTTTGTCCTTTCAGAAGGAACAAGAAAAGAGACTTGTTGTACTCCCAATGTACCATGTGTAGGACAGTAGTTTACAGGCTGAATAGGGACTCTTGTCAGATATTTATAGGTCCCACATAATGAAGAACACATTTTTCTTTGTCTGTACATACTTGTACATCATGCTCCAATCGAGTAGCCCTGCAAATGTGGAGAGTGAATAGGCCTCTGCATTGTTTCTGCTGCCCACCTTCTAGGGAAACACAGCTTCCATTAAGCTATTTCAACTGGCTCCTGTAGTGATGTCACGACAGGAGGGATTTGCATATAGCTGCATGCACTACTCGGTTCCTTATATGATATTCTGAGCTTAACACCTGTACCAGTTGCTGACAGGGTTAATTGAACTCCTCACAGCAAAAACAGATGGTCCCGGATTTCTGCAGCCCACCATTTAGGGCAACACAGCTTCCATTAAGCTTTTTCATTAGGCTCCTGTGGTGATGTAACAACAGGAAGGCTTTGCATATAGATGCATGCACTCCTCGGTTGCAAAAATATATGGATTCTTACATTTCTTGTATTATATTCTGAGCTCAACACCTGTCGCAGTGGCTGATGGGGTTACTGTATATGCACTCCTCGTGGTAAAAACAGAGGGTGCCAGATAGAAACCTTTTCCCTTCTTAATACTGGGGTAAAAACTTGCAGATTTTCTGTTGTTGTTTGAACTGTCTCAGACTTATGTAAGTGTTTTAGTGTTTATTTTCAGAATATACAACCAAATGAACATCTTTGGGGTTTTACGACACATTTCCAGCTCCTTAAATAATACATAAACAATGTAAAAGCATAAAAAGCATTTGTCTTCCCCTGTTGTTTTTACTTCAATACACATTTCATTGTGAATAACTAACTGCTTTCGATGCCCAAGATAAACACAAGCTTGAATGATGACAACAGTCCACTGCATCGGCACCCTTTGCCTGATAATAATGCAGGTTTTACTTTATCCAGAATCCATCATCATGACAGGGTTTTGGTGTCTAAAAGGCTATTTCTTCAGCCAAGATTTTAATTTATTAGCTCATATAAACAAACACGACAGGCTGATGCTTTTTCTGCTTTTTCTCCTTTTTTTAATTGTCTTGGGAGTCAGAGAAGCATTGTGTAAGAATCTGATGATTAATCTTTTTGGATGTTAAAGCAAAAAGCCATCCAATCTGAATCCAATGTGAGTGTAATTGACTATGTTTTCACTTTTTTTGTCTTCAGAGAGTACTTTTGAATGCTAGAATTTGGTGATTTAAGCGGACTATACGACTCTCCACTGTACAGACTCCATTTAACCAAATCATTTGCATCAGGACAAGATCAATGGGACTCATCTGCATGTAGTTTCATATTCTGTAAGCGCTGCAGCACATAGAATAAACCCAAAGGGAGAAACGGGACTCTTTGAACTTCAGGGGAACATTAGCGTAGGAATGTGGATTATGAACGTTTGAGGCTGGTTATGTCAAGATGAAGCCAAGTGTATGTGTTCAGACTTCAGAGAGATTGAATTTTGGAGGAATTAAAACTCCTTTTCCCTCAAACACTCATGTGCATGAGATGATGGGATTTTTTTCTGTCAAATTACAGTAACAAGTGTTCTCCAATGCCCCAGTAACAGGTTCAGTGTGCTCAACAGAGGTAACACAAATATACAAATGTCAGCCCTTCGGCGTACAGCTGCTGACACTGTTGAGATGTAATGTATAGAAAACATGACTGGAGCTGTTGCTGTATCAAAACATACAGCCAGTATATACCTAGGGTGACTGTAAAACATGTGGTCCTGTTCTGTGGCTTTATTTTCAATGGATGGCTGGTTGAAGTTAGATCCCCCGCTGGTTGTCATTTGGTTCACCACAAGGGTGTAGATAGATAAATCCAACAGAAATTGTGGTTTCTGTCTGATCTGGCGGTGGAGCTATAACATGAGCCATAACCACAACAAGAATATTTAGAGTGTGTTTTGAATACAGTACATGTGGACGCCATTTGTCGTTCAACAACAACACAAAAGTAGCTGCCATGTAGAATCCAGCCTGGAGGGATGATTAAATGGAGGGACCACTATACTCTACTAAGAGCTAACATCAGCAGGAGTCAGTAACTTTAACATCGATGAAGACAAAGATGAAAAGTTAGATGAAAACATACTACAACATTTGAGCACTTGACTGCTGGCAGAACTTAGTTGAGAAGATTGCTCTAAGAGAAACTACATTTTCATGTCCACACTCAAACAGAATCCTGTATACAACAGGGCAGTCAAGTTTCATAAAATGACAAGACTGAGACTTTAGCAGTATGATGTGTCGGCGGCGAAACATTTTTTTTTGCCTTTTTTAACGTCAATTTATACCTTAAGACTGATGTCCTATTTACCTACTGTCCGCCTTCAGGAGAGCAGGTGTACATCGAGTGGGTTTTAAATGTTGGCGCTGTTGTGTGTGAAAGATAGTTAGAGACGCCAAGACCTGCCTTACGTTGCTTCTTATTGGTTTATATTGTGTGGAGCCTTCGGTGATTGGTTAGATTTGGGCACAAAGGACTGATGGATTGGTTTGGGATTGGTAATCTCGGTCAGTCAATCAGAATTACTCGAACCACAGCAAGCCACGTTTATTATCATGAAAAAAATAAATACAGAATATTAAATGGGGAAATAAAAGCGTGAGAAATGTCAAATGTCAAATGTGGTGTGAGAATGGGTCAAATTGCGTGACTGTCACACTCAAAGCATGATGCTTTGCAGCTCTGGTATACAACATAGTTCTCTCAAAATCAGACCACTTCATGGCACCTGAAGCTGTTTAGGGTATGTTGCTTTGCTTTTAGGCTCCTTGGCAGAGCCCAGGAAGTAAAATGGCATTTCTTCAACCTAATTTCCGAACATGGATTATATGTTTATATATATATATATATATATATATATATATATGACTCTGTTGATGATTTATGTTGCCTGATTTATGTTACCACTTTTCATCTAAATTCGTCAGCAGTAAGCATATAGAATGGCTTCTCTCAGACTGGTCTAGCCGGACAGGTCTCATCATTCCCAATGTTATCAGACTAAGAGGCCCCAGGGCCTAATCCTGCTGCATGCTAATGGAAGAAGAGGCTTCGGGGTTGTGATAAAGAAGAACAGGAAAGGTTGGGGTGTTCTGCACCATTGAACGCAGCATCTAAAACTGAAGACTGCTGCAAAGTGTCCCTATAGTTGATCACAGAGTTCATCCCAGAGCTTTTAATGTTTAAACACACAATCTCCCAAAGGTCAATGACTGTGTGAAACCAGAAAGATCAATAATGCTTCAGTAAATAACACAGACAACAGGATATCGTTATGCCATTAGCAGGTCAATGAAAGTCTGAATGAAGGTGAAGTTAGGACATTATCTTGTGCTGCAAGTTTTGAGATGAAGCAGAACTGTTCTGGTTCCTGAAAATGAAGAATAGACCCAGATCCGACTGTTTACTTTGAATGAGGGTTTTTCAAATTCTGTGTTTTCTCTTCTCTGCTTGACTAGAGCTCTGAAAGACCTTTGACGTCAAGTTTCCCCAGACGCTCGCTCAGATTCCTGAGTGTAACTAAATCACCCCAAGGGTCATGTGCATCTATCAACCGAGAGATATATGTCCAGTTTATTACCCT